GGCTAGAATAAAGACTTAATCTTTTTTTTTGTAATTTCTTTGTTTACTATTTTCTCTTCCAAATAGAGGGTAACCATGAAGAAAGAAAATTATTTTCATTTTAACTTTATTAGTTTATAGAATAAGACCTAACACAAAATAATTATTTAATGATTATGTCTTGAGTGAGTAAATGAATTAATGAAGGAAAGGAACACTTATTACTTTAAATCAGTCACTCTTTTGAGTATTGCAAATATAATATCTTATTTTATTTAATTCTTCTTGCCTCTTGAGAGATTAAATTAAATGTGAAAATAGGATTAACAATCTGTGATTATGTAGATGATACAACATGGCTTGCTGAAAATGAAGAAGACTTGGATCACTCACTGATGAAGATCAAAAACTATAGCATTCGATATGGATTACAACTCAACATAACAGAAAACAAAAATCCTCACAAACATTCAAGAATTTCATTTATATCATCCATAATCAGTGCCCATGTAATTTGCCATCAAAATAACCAAAGGACACAGACACATTGCATTGAAGTGTTAAAGAGCAGAGATGGCACTAGGAGGACTAGAGTGTACCTGACCCAACCCAGGATATTTTCAGTCACCTCATATGCATGCAAAAGTGAAAATCAATGCCTTTGAGTTTTGGTGTTGGCAAAGAATATGAAATCTACCATGGGTGGCCAGAAGAGAAAACAAATCTGTTTTGAAAGAAGTACAACCAGAATGCTCCCTAAAATCAGAATTAGTGAGACTTGTTTTCGTTTACTTTGGACATCAGACTTGCTAAAATAGCGGATCAGGGACAAAAAGAAAGACCTTCATCGAGATGGCTATCATGAGCTGAAGCATAGCAATGATTGTGGCACAGAACTAGCAGCACTTCTGTGGTACATACATTCTGCTCTCCATCGGAGTTGGAACCACTTCAATGATACCTAACCATCACCATTTAATCTCTTTATTGCATGGGAAAGGAGGGTCCCAGTAAATCATCACTGGTCCGGTAGGTGCAATTGTACAGCAATAATAAGTAAAGATTATAGTAAAGCCATAGAGAGCATGAGAGATAGAGATTGAAGTAATGGAGTCAGACACAATTCATGGTAGCATGCTCACTTCAACCCCACTTGGTGATCCTCATGGGGAGAGCCTGGGAGTGAGAGCAGGAGAGCCCAACTTTATTGCTAACCAAGGGTTATAATTACTTAGGGGTGTGTGATTACAGGTAACCACACGTCACAGGAAGGGGCAGTACAATAGGCATACACATCATAGGAAGGGGATATATGATAGGCATAAGCGTGACAGGAAGGGGATGAGCTAGGGATGTGCACATAGGAAGGGGAGGGACTAGAGGTAAACATGTTACAATATGGACGGACCCTAGATTCATGATGGCAGCCTAACCTTGGTCACCCTTGGGTGAACTTGACCTCTCTGGGGTCTCCTACAAGGAAACAGACAGCTACTATCCTTATCAGAAAGGAGTGGGCCTTACTCGTGAGATAAACAGTAGTGACTGCTTGCTCTGGATGGCTGATAATCCTTAGGGAAAATGACCCCTGATTTACTTCTGATGACCTCCAGGTGTAGAGTCATTCGCAAGCAGCTAAGTTTGGCATATATTTGCGGGAGTCAACTTGGGAGAAATCCGTCTGTTTCCCACACTTTATTAAAGTAGTCATTATGATCCTAATTTAGTGCATGCGGAACTGATCTCCCAGGTATTAACTCACTTGCCCAAAGATCCACAGCTAACAAATTCAGAGTTAACAATTGGATACAGATCTGTCTCGACAACATTGCATGCTATTTGCTAGACCATTCTTTGTGCCACTGCCTGTAGGTGTGAAAGGGCTTGTGGGAGAGGAGTGATAAACTGGACTGCAGTCACCAGGGGAAACCATTCACTTAAGAAGCAAGACCTTTTTCTGGGTGGAACCAAGAAATATAAAGACAGGACTTGTCAGACAAGAGGAATCTAACCCCCCAAGTTATCCCCAAATAAATGTATGTACTGTAAGAATATAATGTTTTCTTTTTCACATGTTAAGAAAACAAAACTAAGCTCTACCCCTTCCATAAAAGTCATCTCTGGTTCAAAAGTGTATGTTTTCAGTTCCAAAGTTAGAAAAATGTGATCATGGTTACCCTGGAAAGGATTGTATTTATATTACAGAGGAATAATATTTAAACTATTCATTTTTGATAAAAAGAAAAAAGTATCACTGCTCTGCACAAATCAGTTATTAGATAAAATTTCAGTCACTTCTTAGTTCCAGCTGAGGGAAGATTTTTACCAACATATCAACCTATTCAATCTATCAAGAAGATGTAAACTCTGAATTACCCAGGGAAGCTTGCAGATGGAAATAATGAAATGTTGCAAGATGTCAAAAAGTTGGAATTGAGTTCAATTTGCTTTTCAGAGGGAGTTTGGGTATGCTGCTGGGTTCCCCATATTCGTTTTCGTCTCAAATATGCAGCCTTGCAACCAGGCATTAAGCAGCTCCCTTCTTCAGGCTTAGATGCAATGAAAAGAGTTGGAGAGAGGGCCCGTCACCTCCAGCAGAAGGCAGAATGAGAAAGAATTGAAATAAAGGGAAGCCAGAGGAAGATCAATATTTACAAACATCTGCTATGCCTTTTATTTTTTAAACATGGCACAAAGAAGTCAAGGGACTTTGTCAGAATCTCACAGAACACAAGGACAGAATCAGCAGTAAAATTCACTTTACAATTTTGGTTGGAGGTTTATAGACTTCTTCTTAATCTACCACCTCCTCCTTCCACATTGATGCTCACAAAGAGAGTAGAGATGAAATGAGAGTCCAAATATGTTTGCAGATAGTTGTTAACGGAGAAGCTACCTTGGAAAGCACAGTGAGATATCTCCCCCGCCTCCCCCCAAAACTAGATCTTGAAACTCCTGTGATTCAAGATGCTTTACTCAATGGCTAGTAGAAAAACTCAAATAAAGGCAGCAGAGTCTTGGTTAACCTAGCAGGAATGGGGTCTGCATCCCCTCCCCTACCACGTTAGAGAGAACAAAGCAAAAACATAAACCTTCTGTCCGTGAGCAAAAAAAAGCCAGACTGAACCAAGGGCAAAGGTCCACATTTGTCTACAACCCAGGGGGACAGTCCTGCCTCTTGATTTGTATCATCCATTGGGTATTAGTCACTACTCGCCTGGGGAGGGACAAATGGGGTCCAAAGACCACTGCTCACACCTGGGAGACAGAGTGGATGCCCTTCATAAAACTGAAGAGAAGGGAAGATCTCTTGTAACATTATTCAACACGGTAACAGCCTGATAGTCTGCTTCTATAAACCATAGTAAGTCTGTAAGCCTTAAAAAGGAAGATATGTGCTTGCTTTGGCAGCACATATGCTAAAATTGGAACAATACAGAGAAGATCGGCATGGCCCCTGAGCAAGGAAGACATGAAAATTCATGAAGCGCTCCATACTTAAAAATAATAATAATAAAGGCACATGACTGACAGAAAATGGTTTGTACTACTGATCTAAAACTTTGCAGTTCAAACTCACCCAGCTATGTTGTGGCAGAAAGGCCCGGAGACCTGCTTCGTTAAAGATGACAAGGAAGAAACCCCTATGGAGGATTTCTACTCTGTTCTATATATAGAGGTGAGTGATCAAAACAAACAATGATAGGTTTGTTTTGTTGGCGTTGTTTTTAAGTTAAGATCATATTTTACAGATGGCAGATGCAGCCTAGAACTGCCACAGCGTTAGAAAGCAATCTTGGATAACATTCTTCATTACGGCATTTGTAGCCAGAGTGAGATGTGCTCAATTAACACATCCCCTATGTGCTATAAGCCCTTTTGTAATGTGATGCAAATTCTAGCCGCTATGCCTGTGGTTACCATCCTATTTTGGTGGAATTCCTGTTACAGGATTAAGAAAAAGCGGATTCTAAGTCTTCACCTTAGGAGAGGGTAGGACTCAAGTCACCATCTTTTTTTCCCTTGGGGTACGGTCTGCTGAAAGACAAAAACCAGGCCTCCCTGCAAGAATGAGCCAGCTCAGAAACAGGACCACACAGAGACTCTGCGCCACCAGTGGAGCACATGTGAAATCTCTGTATGAAGGGGCAGAGGCTAAGACCAGAGGCACCAGAGGCTGCAGCATGAAGACCACGGGACAGAGCAAAGGAGCCAGGCTGAGCACTGAGGCCCAGGCAAGGTTACAGAACAGCGGAGCTGCAGACTCTGAGACTGAGGCAGAGAAACAGGCTGGCTTCCTAGTTCGAAGAGGCAAAGATCCAGGAACCTATGGCTAAGAGGCTGAGGACCAGGGAAAACCTTGCCACTGGCTAACAAGAGGCATTGCTATGGACCAACGACTGGATCCTTACTGTTCAATGGATTCTGACTTGTGCTAAACTGTTCACTTCCCTGGTAAATCCCCTGAATTGAGTATTGTCTGTGAGTTCTGTGTGGCCATTGCAATGGATTGCTGAATCCAACAGAAAGACAGAGTGTCATGGGAGGACCAGTTGTGGGAGGATCAGAATAAGGAAAAGGATGAGGATGAGGGTGTGTGTGACCTCTGGCTTATGGCAGTCAGGTAGACTTCCCTGCGTCGTCGTCAGCGGAGGCCAGCTCTGCTCTGTACTCACCCCTCAGCCCCCTCACTGCTTTCGAGACGACAGTGTTTCACAGACAACTGGCCTGGCAGGCTGATCCCCCCAAATTCGCAACTTTGAGAACCCTCGGGACCAGTTATACTGTGCACACCTGGCAGACTCAACAATAACTCAATGTATAATATAGTGGTGACTCCTCATTGTTAGTGTTTTGAAGATTAAATGTTCTCTTTCTTAGATTAAAAAAACACACTATGATTTTACTATTTATGCAATACCTGTTGTGTTAATCTGGGTAAACTAGGAAACAAATCCACAGAAAGTCATATGTATAAGAGAGAGTTTTATATAAAGGGTAAGTGTACATTCAGAAAGCATCCCAACCCAGTACTGCCCAAGCCCACCAGTCCAACATTAACCCATATGACTGACAACAATCCACAAAGTCCTCCTCCATCTCACAAAACACACATGATGACACTGACTGCAGGAGGAAAGCCAAATCAGTGAACGTGTAAGCATCTCAGCACATGGCTGCTCCAGCACCCAGGGCTTCATCAGGGCAGGTCCATGTGACTTCTTCTCAGGGATGTCTTGCAGGAAGTGAGACTTGCCAGCTGAAGCACGGAACTGGCTAAGACAGCTGCACCTGGTCTGACCATCAGAAAGCAAGAGACCTGAGAACTCGAAAGGCGAGATTTACAGAGCTATTTAGCTCTCCGCCCTTCAATTGATCCCACATGTGTTTTTCAGCCAGGTTGGCACAATAAGCCTTAACTCTCTCATCTGTCTTATATCAAAAATGCCTTTCGAACTGATTTTCTTCCCAAGGAGTTTGAGAATGGGTGCTCATATTTGCATTCCCCACAGGACATACACAATATGTAAAATTGAACTAATAGGGTCTTCCATAATCTAGAATGGGTAGGAAAGAGGGAACCGATTACATGGAACTGTGTGTGACCTCCTCCCTGGGGGACAGACAACCAAAAAGTGGGTGAAGGGAGACGTCGGACAGGGCAAGATATGACAAAATACCCATTTATAAACTATCAAGGGCTCATGCGGGAGGGGGGAGCGGGGAGGGAGGGGAAAAATGAGGACCTAATGTTGGGGGTTTGGGTGGAGAGAAAATGTTTTGAGAAACGATGTACAAATGCGCTTTACACAATTGATGTGTGTATGGATTGGGATAACAGTTGTATGAGCCCCCAAAAAAATGTTAAAAAAAAAAAAAGAAAGTGCTTGGAGGTTAACATATATGTATTCTGCTTTACCGATAGCCCTCACAGCATCTATCAGTGCTGAACATGTATTACTAGATAAATAAATAATGTACTTAATAAATTAAGGGTTGCAGAACCTGGGAAGCCAAACTCTTATTCCTGAGAAAGCCCATGTCACTTCTCCTAGGATCGGTTCTCACTCTGGAGTCTATGATGAATTTTGCATAGTGGAAGTACCCTGCAAAGCTAGCATTTAGAATTTGTTCCTAAAAAGTCCAAACTCATCTGATATTTATCGTGTTACATATGCTCAAACACTTTAATGATCAGCCTTCCTGTTCTTTTTACTTTGAATAATTTCTTACAGATTGATGTATGCTGCAGTCTCCCTTGATGCCATTGTTTTCCCCAAATAGCAATGACATAAATTCACTGCCTTAGCTGGAATATTCATAATTTTCCTTTACAACAACATATGTTCTGTTCGCAGCCACATCCCTGGGATCATCCTTATCTCCCAAAGCTTCTCCCCAAATACAGTCTACCAACCCTGGCCAGACTACAGAGTGCCTTTTATATTAAAGCTAAGACTGTCTGACCTGTGGGAAGACAGGCATTCTCTCTTTCTTTGGTGATGCATACACAATACCATGTTGAACCATGTGTGATGGTCCCATGGCAGCTGAAAGCAGTATTTAGTGCTCACTGCAACATCCAGTGTCCAGGGAAAAAATTCTTGATTCTTTCCAAGACTTCATGGAATTAAGATGTCCATGATGATCTACCCAGTCTTCTAAAATAATGACCCTTGTAGCTATTAGAAGCTATCAGGTCTCCTCATCCTGCACCATCCCAAGATCACTTGCAGGTTGGATCTATGGGACTTTCACTGACTGGTTCTTCTAATATAGATCACCAGGTATTTCCTTCTAATCTACATTAGCCTGGAAGCTCAACTGAAATTTGATTAGTATGATCGTAACAAGTAAGCCACCACTGATAGACAGCTACACATGGGGAGCTATAGCCAGGACTTGAACCCTAGTCTCTACCAGGAAGGTGAAAATTCTGCTAATGAACCACCAATATCACGTATCAACTGCCATCCATTTGATCATGACTCATCATAATAACAATAGGCAATACCTTTAAGAAGCTTTACGTATCTGGTGCTCTCTTCTATATGTGGTGTCTACAAGTGATGTGTGTTTACATATTATTTTCTGACTATAACTGTTGAGCTGACACTGAGAGCTATACTTTTTAGTTAAGCAAACTGCAGTGCTAAAAGATGTGGCAACTCGGCCAAGGCCTAATTAAAATCGTTCTCAAATCTCCACTTTCAGAGCTTCAAAAGTCTGACATTCCAATTCACAATTTCTGAGGATCCCAGGCATTCTACAACCACAGAGCCACTTCATTCCTCTGGGCTCAAGAGTTCTTGTTTACTGCATCTGTTACCTGTGTTGCCTCGCATACAGTCAATGAGTAAAATCTCATCTTTCTTTCTTTGGTTAAAATTAAGTAAGAAATTAAATGCACCAGCTAGACATATGGATGTCACAATGTCAGGTAAATAACTAAAAAAGACAAGTAGAGTTGAAAGCAATGATGGCAACATATGTATAAATGCGCTTGAGACAGTGGATAGATGGATGAATTGTGATAAGAGTTGTCCGAGCACCCAATAAAATGATTATTTTTCAAAAAAGACAAGTAGAGAAAATGTCCTTGGATCTGTAATCAAATGTGCTTATTAATTCTTCACCTTTGAATTACTCAGGTCCATGCATTTAGTCACTGGTACCTGTGGAAAGCTGCTCTCTTTCCTACTCCGCCCCTCTGAGATTATACATGGAGGGGCAGTGAAAATGACCTGGGGGAGGTAAAAATGAGGGAAAGTTCCCACAACTCTCCCCTATTTCTCCCCCTACTCTCCCCTATTAGATGAGCCAGGCCCTTTCCCCTGGAGGGACCAGGGGGTTATCCTAAATGAAATCTTTCCTCTTGGAAACATGAGGGATGGATAATTAAGGTTTCCCTGATGGATATGAAACTCAGCCTATTCCTCAATTTCCACTGGCTTAGCAGGTTTTATTAAAACTCTGGGGGTAAGTGAATAAGTTAAATCATAACACTGTTCCAGCTCCTAGTTTTAAATCCATTTAAATGTATAAAGTAGATGAAAAAGCTCTATATGGAAACTGTTGTTTTTAAAAGGCAACAGTAATAATCGTGTTATATATGTACACACTTTTTTGAAGAGTCCAGTGTTAGAATGTGCCTAATTGTAAAAATGTGCTTTATTTTTATTTTTTAAAATCATTTTATTGGGAGCTCATACAGCTCTTATCACAAGCCATACATACATCTATTGTGTCAAGCACATTTGTACATATGTTGCCATCATCATTTTCAAAACATTTTGTTTCTACTTGAGCCCCTTGTATCAGCTCATTTACCCCCTCCCCAACCCTCCCGCTCTCATTAACCCTAGATAATTCATGATTTTTTTTTCATGTCTTATACTGACCGATGTCTCCCTTCACC